CAAGTTATATATGTGTTATGCAGTGCTGTGTATCTCTCAAATATTTTTTGAGATTTTTTCATGTCTTGACAACTACCTGTGAGTAAGTAGATTTTTAAAGAAGAGTGCTCACCTTGCCTTTCATATCTCAATGGTATTTTGGCTCCAAAAATTCTTGTTTCCTGGGCATCCTGCAATTATTTCAAATGTTAGCTATTTCTGTTGTTTTAGTCATTCTTAGTGTTTTGCTTCAAACAAAAGGTCTGGTAAGGTCAAAATAAAACATTCCCACGTAGAAGGGAAGCTCTGAAGACAGGAAATCATTGCTTCTGTTTCACAGTTTCTATCTTAGATAACATCATTAGTCTACCATTGATGTAACAGATTTCCTTTCTCTCACCCTGTGTATAGGAAACCAGACCCAGCTGCTCCCTCATTGTAAGGACTCACTGTCTGATTCAGCAGGCTCCACAGCCTCACCCATACAGGCTATCAGCTGCTCAGGTGAGGATGGCCCCCAAGACAGAACCTGCTCCTTCCCATGTCAGCACCACTGACCTGACTCTGTTTCTCCTCAGATAGCAGAAAGCTGCGCCTGGTGGATGGGGGTGGTCGCTGTGCCGGAAGAGTGGAGATCATGCATCAGGGATTCTGGGGCACCATCTGTGCTGACAGCTGGGGCCTGAAAGATGCTGACGTGGTGTGCAGACAGCTGGGCTGTGGAGTGGCCCTCAATGCCACAGCCTTTGCTTACTTTGGTCAAGGATCTGGGCCTATCTGGTTGGATGAGGTGAACTGCACAGGAGAAGAGTTACACGTTTGGAAATGTCCTTCCCTGGGCTGGGGAAAACACAACTGTTGGCACAAGGAAGATGCAGGTGTCATTTTCTCAGGTCTGTGTTTACACTGTCCACAAATGGGAGGGGGAGGGAAGGTCTTCAGGATGGCTTCTGACCATAAGATGAGATTAGAGACAATAGTTGAATAGTGTAGAAGTATGAAGGCTCCATGTGCAGTGTTTCTTTTTGTAGCAGAAGAAAAATTAGGTGCTATCACTTCTTGAAATCGAGATTCTTGTCCTTCCATCCCATCTCTGTCACCAGACAGTCATTTCCTACAGTGTTCATCAGTTCCCTGTGGCTACAAACATTCAATCCCACTGTATTAGATTGTTATTGCAGTTTCAACAAATTACCCCATGGTTAATAACCTGATATTACACTTGTTTAGGTAGAAGTGTACCCACACCAAGCTCTGCTGAAAATGAAGTGTCAGTAGGGCTACAAAATGACAAAGAGAAGGAGCAAAATGCATACTCAGGCCCTGAGCCCACCCAGAACCAATGCAGGAGACAATATCATAGAAGAAATTGGAAATCACACACCTGAAATCTCTGAAATAATAGCCTCAGAAGTAAGGGAACAACTACAAAAAGGTGTAGAGGAAATCAGATAAGAAATAATTTCTGAAGTAAAAAAGAAATGATAAATATAACGAAAGTAGTACTAAGTACTTCTAAAGAGGACACTGACAAAAAATAGAGGAGAATAGAATAATGATGGAATCCTTGAATGAGCAATATAGGAAAGAAATAGATCACATGAGGCAGAGTTAAAGTGCTATACAGGAAATTAAAACCTCAGTCACAAGCTGGAGAAGCCATTTGAATGAAAGTGAAAATAGACTTTCAGACCTAGAAGACAACATTGCAACTAGGGAAAAGATAAAAGATCCCTTAAAAACAACTGGGATGCAGGAAAAAATAATTGAACATCAACAAGAAAATGCAAAGAAGAACAACATAAGACTAGTAGGCATCAATGAGAAAGAAACAGTCAATACAAATAATCAAAAAAAAAAAAAGAATAGAGGGACAAGTAATAGCAGAAAATTTTCCAAATATGGGGAAACAATCTGATATTCAGGGAACTGAAGCATATAGAACTCCAATAACATCAACCCAATTAAAAACACCCCTAGACATATAATAATCAAGGCCCCAGAAATGTAGCACAGGGACAGTATACTAAAAGCCATTAGAGAAAAGAAACAGATCACATTTAAAGGAAAACTCATCAAAATAATGGCAGATTTCTCTTCACAAATCATCAAGTCAATAAGAGCATGGGCAAAATTCTATAAGACTTGAAAGAAAACAAATTCTAATTCAGACTTGTATAAACTGCAAAACTCTCAAGTTTAATGGAGAAGTGAAATACTTCCATGACAAAGAGCAACTAAAGAATTTCATGATGACATAGCCAGCACTATATAGACTACTAAAATTTATTCTAGAGAGGGATCAAAATGATCAAAACTCCATGAATGAGAATGGAAAGAACCCACTAAATAGGGCAAACAATTAAACACAGAAGAGAAAAAAGTATACAAAAGGACTCTTTCAATTATTCTTTTGTATACAGTAGCAAAATTCTTGAACAGCATGCTCTGAAAATGGGCTTCTCCTGAACCCTATGGGTCATGATTCTATAGGGGTGTACAGAGTAGGTATCAAGGAAATAGCACTATCTCAGTTCCACATGTGATAATTAGCTGTCGATAAGCATCATGGACATTGTCCATGTCCAAGGAATAGTAGAACTTTATGTGATATCCTATCCCCAAACTGTTAGAAGTGCTAGTCATATATTTGCAATTCCAGTATCTATGTTATATTTTATTCTTATTAATTCTTTACTATCATGAAAACATTTTCTTAGTTGAATTGTTTTGAAATATTAATTAATTTTCTGAATATTATTTAATCTTAATTGTTGTTTTAAGATTTATACTGTATATTTGACTTACAATCTACTTATAAGACATGGT